ATTTTATTTTACTAAAAAATGCATAAAACATGAAATATGTTTTTATTAAACTTTATTTTGGTAGTTCTTATGTTTCTAAAATATAGAAATAGTATGAATAGCATATGTAACCATTAATATCATTAGACCTTTTTTTGTCGCACTACTCCTCCCACCATAGTGTAAAACTGTTAAAAACATTCAATGTACTACATTAAAACTTGATACTGTAATAACAATTATATTATTAAACATAACATGTATTTTTATTTGAAAAAATATGGTTTGAACTTTTATAAGAAATAAGAGATATATCTATAAATACTTAACAATTAACAAGTTGAAATGTATATAAAACTAAAATATGTGAGAAAAAAAATTATAAATATATTCTAAATACTTTTTTATGAGAAATTAAGTGAATAACGTTACAAAAAATCACATTTATTCCTTAACTGTTAATTTTTTTTATTAAAAATATTTCATATATATTTTTTAAAAGGTTGAAATATTTTATTTAATATTTGAGATCATGTCATATTCATGTATTTGATAAACAAAAAAGTTTTCTAATTTAAAGATTTGGTTTAATACTCCATAATGATATAAAATAATATTTCATCATTGTGAGTACTCTTCACAAAATAAATAAATTATTGATTAAAGTCGAATAAAAACTTTACTAAGTAACAACCTAACTTAATATTTAAACATAATAATAATATATTATTATAAGCATATCTATTTTTCATCATTTTTCTAAAAAATACTCATTTTATATTTTATTATTCTTATTGTTAGTTTTATCTAACACATTTTTAAATATTAAGCATTCTGTTATTATTTTGTACATTTGAATATTTTCCAAAATTTGTCTTTTCATTTTAACTATTAATATTACTTAATAATTGATGAAAGTATTTAAAATACTTTCTAATTCGATTTTTAACTTATTCTGAATATTGTATAAATAATTGTAAAAAATTATAGCTTTCGTTCAAATAATTTAAGGATTTCATTGTATACAATTGAAAACCCATAGATATTCAAAAAAATAATTTTTAATGGATTCTTAATATGTTTATTAATACACCTCTATGGCTTCTTAAAGTTAATTCAAATATTATAAAGCTATAGAAATGCATAAATATTAAGAGCCAAAAGAATACGTGAATTGTGAAAAACCTTAAAAATGAATAAAGAAAATTATTATTTGTATGGCTTCTTAATACTTTTATTTATGCATTTCTGTGGCTTCATATTTTTGAAATAAATATTAGGAAACCATAAAAATGCATAAATATTAAGAAGCCATAGAAGAAATGCATAATTAAAATTATTATTTGTATGGATTCTTAATACTTTTAAGTATGCATTCTATGGTTTCTTAATGTTTATGCATTTCTGTAGCTTCATATTTTTAAAATAAATATTAGGAAGCCATAAAAACGCATAAATATTAAGAAGCCATAGAAATGCATAAATATTATGAAGCCATAGAAATGCATAAATAAAAGTATTGAGAAGCCATACAAATATTAATTTTAAAATGCATTTTTATGGCTTCTTATTCGTGCATTTCTGTGGCTTCATATTATTTAAATGAACATTAGCAAGCCATAGAAATGCATAATTAAAATTATTATTTGTATGGCTTCTTAATACTTTTATTTATTAATTTATATGATTTTTAATGTTTATTTATTTCCGTGATTTCATAATATTTATATAAACATTAATATGCTGTAGAAATGCATAAATTTAATCGTTTAAAAGCCATATATGTAATTGATATATTAATGAGGGAAAAACGAGAAATTATTAATAAATTATCATGGATAATATATAAAGTTAATATGACTATATATATGGAGTCTTACAGAAGCATTGAAGGTGTTATTAATTAGGTTGTGATGATTATCTCAATTCATTTCTAAATATAACAAATATTGTTGGATACACATCGGTCGAATACACTGTCCAGAAATTGTATTGAGATTATTTTTGACTATCATTGTGCGATACCGAGTTGTTGTTGGTCTTCTCTCTATGTCTGCATTGTCGCCGCCATCTTAGCGCATTTTAGCTATAAGCTCTATGGCGTTTGCAAGTCAGTAATTTTGTATTTTTTTTGTTGAAAAAAGTAAAATATCACCTTTACTATTGTCGCACCCTTGTGCGCTCAGAATGTCGCCGTTGGGTCTATATATTTTCTGAGATACATCACAGTACCTTTCACAGAATATTGTACATGTTGGTCAGTTACTTGCATTTCACTTCAATTGATCCTTTCAATATTCAACATTATCATCGGCCGTTTCAATTAGCCGATAAGTATAATGCGTGTTCATCTTCTTTTTAAGACTTCCTGACATTTATAATTTATTATTTGTTTATATCAGCGCCATTTTGGCATTAATATTAAGTGTCCCCCCTATCCAAATTGGTGTATATAAGATTTTATGATTCATATATAATACATTTAATTGTTATATGTTTTGAAAATTCATTCTACATTCATTCATACAGACCACTCATTTCATTCTTTTTCCTCGACATAACCTGACTTAAGACAAAATAAAACAACGAACCCACATGAGTATCACCAGGCGTTGCGTTCATTTTAATATCTTTATTAATAGTATTATTATTAGTTTATACATAGTTTATTACATATAGATAATTTTTGAAAACGCTTCCTATAAATTCTTAACGATATATATGAGAAAATTCTTAAAAATGAATGTAGTCATAGATAATTTATTATTACATAGTTTGAGTAGGAATCTTTGTTTAAAAGACATATGCAATAATGCATTTTATTGAATGAAATTTTGATAAAAGATCAGATGAAACTATATCATGTACAAAGAATCGCATTTTTTTTTATTAAAAATTTATATTTCATACTTAAAATTTTTCAGACACGATTTTATGTAAAATTTTAATATGAGTCATTGTAATTATACAATGTTACAGAGCAAAACAATCATTGAGCTTATTTAGCATTTAAATCTAAAGATATTGTTGAGGGGTGAGCGGGAAATTATTAAATTAATAAAAATTATTCGTATGCTCAGAGTTTTTTAGTTGTTATAATTTATTATTAATAGTATAAAATATAATATATCAATAATAGAAAGTGATTGTAATTAATATATATCTCATAAAGCACCGAACAGCTAGGTGTATCGCGGTATACTAGTCCAAGATAAAAAATACAATTGCCGATAAGCGCCATTTATTCAAGTGGCTGTTCTATATAACATAGGCCGCAACAGATATAACATTTCAATTTTTAGGGTAAGTTTTTGTATTTTTTTAAAGAACTTGTGTACTCTTGTGAAAACTCGACTTAGTAAATGATAAAAAAGAAACATTATAAAATTAAAATGAGAAGAGATTTGAAACTCGACTAATGCCTATTTATACGTTGAAATATTCAGTGACTTTATTTCTTGAATTACATTATAAATTCAGACTGGAGTTATGAGAATTGTGTCGAATTAAAATATCATAAATAAAATATAGAGCGAATATAAAAAAAATTACCTTTGAATTTTAGAATAACTTAAATAAAAGTTGTAAAGGTAATGCAGAAATGGATATAGATGACTACAGTAAAGTCAAATAATAATAAAGTCTAATTGATTGCTAAATAGCTGAAGTAAACTGTTCGTATTTTACTAAACAAAAATCAATAATAAAAATAATGTTGTGTACTTAAATTGGGTTGAAAAAATATTAAGTAAATATTTGTAGGTTTGAATTTTAAATTTATTTTACAATGTTTTACGAAACATATCTATATATTATTTAATAAAGGGATAAATAACGTTATATTCCAAGTAAAGTAATCATACCTACTTCAAATAATTTGGTAACTTTGTTTAATGTATTTTGTTAAAAGTAAAAGTAATTCTAAGTATTGTTTTAAAAAAGATTATTAAACATTTATGTATATTATATTTTTTAAATTGTTTATATATTCCTTTTAATTTATACAATTTATATTTTATTTAAAAGAAAATTTTTTTTCTTCAGGATATGTGTAAATGAAAATATTAGTATAAATAACATTCCTATTAAGTTAGTGCTGTGTGTATGAATATTAAATTTATAAATTGCTTTATTTACTTACGAATTTTACGTCAAAATAACACTACTTGCATATAAAATGAACTAGTAAATTAAAAATGTACTAACGTAAAAGAATTTTCGAATCATTTCTTACAGTATAATTATTAACTGTATGTATGAGAGAAAGCATGACATTTCTAACTGTATTCTTAGAACACTGACATTTGTGTTTTTATATTTCATTATTTTTACATTTAAATTATTTAAAAATTTTAAAACTTATAATTGTATTATTTTTTTATTATATTAGATAGAGTTGTATTTGTTTCTTAGATTCTTTCTTAGTCAAACTGTTTTAATTGAATGTCAACAAAAACGCATTATCATAATCCGTTTTTTGTTCAATAGATAGTTTAAATATATATATATATATACATTATTTAAACTTCATCTTTTTACAATTTTCAAAAATTAAATTACAGTATTCATTATAAACCATTTTGAACGTTGGTCTTAAATGCTGTGACATTTTACGTGGTTTATATTGACAGCCGGGAACGTTGAGAGAAGAGGAAAAGAGGTTCCATAGCACCCCTTTGGATTTTTTATGTCACTAAAAAAAAACTAACGCGAAATATTCAATCCTAGCTATCAAATCTTTTACTCTGAATTTTATTTTTTATCAATATAAAATAGATCCTGTGGTAACTGATACTAACAGAATTCTAAAAACCAGAGGCATTATTTGAGAGAAATAAGTTCGCCTTGTACGGTACACGGATAGAAGAATTAAAATGTATTATCTGTTTATATCTGAGCTTATTCCAAATAGTTAGTAAACTTATTAATGTTCTAGTAAGGGATGTGTTATGTTATAGGTTTGTTAATTCATATTAGTAGTACAATAAACGCTTATATAAAAAAAATTTTCGGTGGTAGGATTGGACAATTTATTAAATTTTAAATAAAAATTCATGACACATAAATTTTTTTGATGACATATTTTAGCTTAGCGTTAGGTAGACAACCTAACAAAAATGTTAGGTTGTCGTGATGTAAATTTCGATTTTTTAGTCAATGTGATTGAAGAATTAGTTCCACATTTTAAATTGACGTCAATAATGTTTGTACACTCTGAGAAAATTTTTGTGGGCGTCCTTGTTGACAGATTATCACTAGGTATAACTGAATAAAAATAAAGATAACTTTGTCAGCTTTTTATAATTTTTTGAAAACTCACTTCGGTTGTATAAATATTCCATTATTCGATGTAATATTATGATAATCCCAAAGTAAATCCTTAAGCCATAATGACACAACACGAGTACTATGACAAATATAGAAATTGTTGACGAATTTTCATACGACAGTCAACGTTATTCACTGATTTATCGTTTGACGAAAAATAATTATTTACGATGCACATCAATAGAGTATTAATATGGATGCGCATGTACAATAAAACAGAGTACGTGGTAAAAATGCTACTGTGTAGGCAATGACAGTTAAAACTTAACGAATGTCAATGTAGTGATCTGTATTCAATGTTCATTTACAGTCAAAAATTATCTCTTGATAAACCGTTGGTGGCCTATAAAAGAAATTGTTGTTATTAGTGCTATACAATTTGTTTTAAGAAAGTGAAATATGATAAATAATAGCCGACAGCTGTTGGGAAATGTATATTTTATTTTACTATGACTAATACAGACATACGTAGTTTTATTGTGTCCCGCTACTGTTTTTTATTATTATTGTTACCACATTATTCAAATAATGAATAAATCAGAAAAATAACACTGTTTGAAAAAATGAACTCGGTAACGTTTGAATTTTTTCCTTTTGATAATATAAAAATTCATCTAGACAAAGCGCTCTCCGGAAAAACAAAAATAAAATAATTTAAATTGACGTTCATCAAAATCAAAACTTTTTAGGGAAATTGAACAAAAAAAAAAAACATTACGGCACATTAATCGTTAATTTCAGATTGTCTCGTAGCATCTAATAAAAACAATCAAATCAATAGAATCGTTTCTTCCGTTCTGATAAACTCGGAAGAAGTTGTTCTTAAATTTTGCTTTGAGTTAAAAGATAAATTACACTTATTTATTTGTGCATTCGCACTTTAAACGCGCTTTTAATTTTCGTCAACTCATTTCGAAAAAAGTTAAGTAACAAATTAATTGAATAAAAACTTTTGCTGGAATAATATTTCCTAATTTACTAGTTTTGTTATTCCATCGGCATTTTATTGCGGTAATTGATAAACCACGGCACTTTATTGTTATTGACCCACAAACATTAGTCAATATTAAATAACATTTACCTATCCAATCCACTCGAGACTAGTCTGGTTAGCCACGCCAATAAAATACTTCTTGCAACGCTGATAAGTGTAGGGTCGCCCGTTAAAATATGTTATTATTTGCTATCTTCTATGACACAGGATCATCCTCACATCTATATATATATATATGTGTATATTGATCGACTCGACTTACGGATATTAAATATTATTTACACACATTAAGCGGGCACGTATGCCAAGAGGATATATAGCACAAAGTGACGATATAATGGAGTAGCACACCACTTGAAATTTGGCACCCCAGACATAAGAGTGTAATATAAAATCTCATATGGACATGCGAGGCTTGCAAAAGGTAGCGGGTTGATAATGACGCATCATTTTACCATCAGCCAATAGATTATTGTCCACGGGCCGAATAGGCTACGTTGATGTAATTATCTTGTTGACGTACGGGCCCGGCTCACATGTCTTGTCGTTAACGTGAGCGAACACACGTGAGCTCTGCGATTTACCGGATCTTAATGAAATCCTTTCGTCGAAAAAATAAAGATTACAGCCAAGAGTTTCAAGACAGCTGACAAACAGATGAAAACGAAATATGCACGATAATCCCCTTCTCCTAGAGACTCGGAAAATGAAAACGCCCCTTAAACTAGATAATCCTTTAATTGCTTTTATGTGTTCCATCAGACGATTTAATGCAGACTGCGTTAGATTAATAGATATGGCTTTAAACTTTAAAAACTCTGTGCCGGGTTTTCTATGCACAATGTGCGCGCATAGGATGCACGAGATTGCAAGAATACTTCTAATGCAACACAAATATAGCTGTTATTTGACCAACCATAATTAAAAATGTCGACTGCCGACTTCATCATGCACTCGTGAAAAATAACAGATTTCATACAGCTTGTTATGAAAAGAAAAACAAAACTAGGAAACCAAACATTTTACTCTGTAAAAAATGAAATTTGGAAATGTAGTCTCTGTTGAATATAGGAATAAAAGTTATTTAGTTTTCCAATAATTCGTTAGAAAATTAATGTTTTTTTTTTGGTTTTCGGTTTTGGATTAATTAATGGAGTAATTCTTTTACCATTGACCGCTTCATAGTCAAAATATAATAATTATATTAAGTATCATTTTGATTTTTTTTTTTTGTTACATATTTTTTTCAATTATATTTATCAAAATAATGAATTTTTTTTTTAATTCTGACACGGCCCGCGTCGCTTCGTTATACACGATGCCCCGCGACTCGTGCCACCTTTATCAGCCGTCGCCCTACTATGAGTATTTGACTGACCAACACCGCGTGATATACGCTACGGTGCAAAGTCCAGCAAATGCCGCACGGCCGACGACGACCCGCCGCAAATGGTGCGGGAGTCTTCCTCCCGTTGTGAAAGCGACAACGTCGACAGCCGAACCGCACCCGCGCACCGTCGTCTACAACGCTGCTACCCATTTTGCCGTCCAAGGATTACGCCGAACATCGCGTCGTCGACGCCAGCGAAAGTGCCGCGATATTATGCGAAGATTATTATTACTGTGTTAATCTTTTTCGGTTTGTTTTATTTTTGTTAAAATAATCTGTTGTCGCTCATTTAATAAACGGCCCACGGGTCTCTACCCTCAAAAACCAGTGTCGACCACATTTTTGCGACGTAAGTCGTGTCAATTCATTCCTTATATCCCTATACATTATAAAGGTGTATTTTTTCAAGTATCAACATAATTAATTACCATTACACTTTACGCCTAGACAGATGGAGATTACATCTGAAAAATGTCTAGTAATAAGAATATCAGCCACCACGCCTCAACATCAGTCAATACTTTAAATTGTTAATGACTTCTAATATACTGATCTGAAAGTCAGTACCGACCAATCATTTTTTTAACTGTGACATTATCTAATAAATATATTAGTTAAATATGTATGCTACCATTTGCAAAATTAAGGTTGACATGCTTACAGTGTAAGGGATAAATTTCAATAATACCTTATGATTGGTAAACTAAGAAAAACATGCAACTAAAAAAAAAAACCAAAATCAAAATTCTCAACTTTCTTTTTCTACCTATTAAGTGGTCAATAATAAAACTCACTGTGAAGTTCATGACAAAACCTATTTATTTCTAACTTTATTTTCTTTCGCAATCTTTATATTATGAGAAAGCACAAATGAATCGTTCTCGTTTCTTTTTATGTTATGAATCAAATAAAATGTGTTTTGTGGTGACTATTTTTATTACATTTGAACTTTTTATTTGGTCTGTTAGAATCAATAAAAGAGTATTTTTACGCCGTTACTCAAATTGTTTTATTATTAATTTATTTTTTAATGTAAAATTTTTAGGAGAATCGTGACTTTTTTTTAAATTTAGAATAATATGCAACTTCAACCAAATAGTTTTAAACTCCAATTATAAACTTAAAATACAAAAGTTTTAAAGTTTTAAAGTATTTCTACAGAAAATTATAATGAAACAAACTGTTCGCGATTCCGTTCAATAATTCGCTAAGTATTAAATTGCCTCCAGTAATATTTCTTAAAATTTTTTTAATTTATAAAAAAAAATAACAATTTCTCACTTTAATATTTTATATTTAAGTGTTTCAATAAACAAATAACTATCCTACGTATATTAAAAATAGTGGTTATTTATTTTATCTATTGTAAGTTACACATCAATTATTGATGCAATTAGAAATTGTTTATTGTCCGTAAAGTATGTACAGTTAAATTATCAAATATTTTGAAATGACTTACTGAATGACGTAAGTCAACAAAAGTATTTTCTTTAAAAGTAGATTAAAAAATGAAAATGGAACAAAACTATTATTGTTATTTTTTCTATTCTCAATTCGCAGTTTGTATGCTTCCAACAAAGAATTGTATGATTAATATGAAATGAACTGTTGTTATGCAGGTTTTATTAATGCACACACAATTCACTTAAACTTGTAACTCATTGAAAAGTTCCGATATTTCTCTTTTTTAGATTTCTGACTAAAAGTACTGGATCTTAATCAGACTAAAAATATAAAATTACTGATTCCAGTTTCAGTGTTTAGACTCAGATTATTTAAATTTTAAAGCAGAAAGAATCTATAGAAACAAAGTTGTATTTTACAAATGTTCATTCTTAAGGACATTTTTATAGGCTTAATTCTTGGAAAAGTTATTTATTTTTGTATTTAACCCTGTGACTCTGACCTAAGATATTGATTTTACTCATTTTTAATTTATACAACTACTCGGTTTGGGGTTGTTGTGCAAAATACTACTCAATCTACTCCTACATAATTTTCTCTAAAAATAATAATATATAACTAAAAAATTTAATTCGTGGTAAAAATTTGTTTTTACTCAATAATGAAATACTTACACGTTAATCGATTCAAGAATTTTATTTTAAAACCAATAATAAGTAAAAAAAAAAAAATGTGTGTATATAAATTCTGTATTTATAGTTTTTACCGAGAAATAAAATATAAATTTTAATATCTTAACCCTCTAAAAACTCTTAAATATCACAAAATATATTTCAGATACCAACCAATGAATTATACAATTCATATAACCCAACCTGGAAAGAATCCACTCCGGTCCCAGATAAACAGTTAGACTTTGCCAATATTTCCACCTTCATATATAGTTTTTGTTTCGAAACAAAAGTTATCTGTACTTTACTGTTTTCCGTAAGTGTAACATTTATTGACTCGTTAAAATCACGTGTACACATTACTTTGAAATCAATTTCAATACGTACATGACCAATCACGTAGCTGTTAGTACAACATAGTGGCTGTCAAACAGCTGTCTATTGGTAAAGAAAACAAACACTATTTGCTTTTGCCCTACTAAAGTAACAAAAGATTATGCTCTTAATCAACAAAGGTTTTGACTTCAATGACATCTATGTAGTCGCATTAAAAATTTAAGATTATTTTTAACTAAATTCTTATAGTAAAAATGCAAATATTATATTATTAATTCAAATGAAGTTTAGCTAGAAACTGGTCGATTTAACTTAAAGCTTCTAAAACGTTAAGTATAATATTTATGTACAAACTTCCCAGTGTCTTGTTTATTATTATTATTTAATCATTTATTAACAAAAACACCTTACTGGATACGTTTGTATTGCATGAATTATTAGCAAATATTATTTGGGTGTTGTTTGAATTTAATTCAAAATTAACTGTCACGAAAATTAACTTTTTACCTAGGTTTGTTTCTTATATCGAAACTTTATGCAAACTGATTTATTTTTATTCAAAAACGATAGCGCATTGCTGTGTTATATTATCATGATACACTAAAATATACGTCACATGCAGCTTTGTTTAATGGTAAAGTAAACCTAGAAGAAAAATATAAAATATCGTTGTAGAAGTTTTATAACGCCAAAACTTAGGTATTGAAAAAATAATAATGTTTGCATGCATGTGCCTTGTTAAGAAAACAAATACTCCACTGCTTCTTACAATTGTACTCTGTGTGCAACATTACTTCTCTGCAGTTGTTAAATAAACTCNTGTACTCTGTGTGTAACATTACTTCTCTGCAGTTGTTAAATAAACTCCTAAAGCTAACTTTACACCTCGACGTCTATGTGTAATTGATTAAATCTTTTAATGATTTAACTTTAAATTTTTTATTATGTGCAAGGTCGCATTTTCTAAATCGTTAGGTAGTTATATATTCATCTTCTTGTAGATATTTTCAGATTAGTTTTCATGAACATAACGTCTATCAAATACTGAGGAGTTCAAATTGTACCGTAAATGTTTAAGTATATCCAACCAATTATTACAGCTCTTCAAATCTCAATTCAAGTGTTTGACGTTTGAAAAAATTATAAACAATTAATATTCTACCATTAATATTAATTAAATTTAGTTTATTATTATTATTATTATTATTACTTTTTTTGAATATGAACCCAAGTCAAACAGTCACACAAACCATTTTCCTTGATTATTTCGATTCGCTTCAACGTCAAAATTATATTTGTGTTGATGCCTCGAGGCTTCATATTAAGGCTGTAATATTTGAGTTGAATATTTTATCAAGAGTCAAAATTTAAAATTAAATTACGTTAAATTTGAATGATTAAGAGTTTAAACAAACCGCCAGACGCAAAGATTCTTTGAACGTTTAAACTTTAACAGAAACTTCATTAAATAAAGAAAAAAACATTCAATATGTTTTGTACCTTATACTCGCATACCGTTACTCCAAGTCGAATTTATTGGACTCCTAAAGAAAATATTAAATTTTATGGCGATATTACATTTACCGACTGTGAATAATAACAGGCTCGAAGAAGCCTTTTGAGACATTTACACAATATCAAAAACAGTTTCGAACACACCCCTTTAAGTGACAGCTATCTCGCTTTTTTCGTTAAAAATATATTAAAAATGACCTATGACCATAATACTGAGATTTTAAAATTCTATGTGAACGTTAATAGAAACGATAGAATTCACAATAGAAACCCATTTCCTTACTTACTGGACACCCTATACAGGGTGATCAAAATCTGGTAAGACACTCATTTTCTCAGAAAATATTGACAATTTTTAATTTTATTATAGAGAAAAAATATCAAGTTCAAAAAATTCTACTATTATATGTAGTCAAACTATTATTTTTTTCGTCCCTTCAAGGATAAAAACCCTTATTTATAACTTTCTTAAATGGGAACTCCTATTTTAAAATTTATAATATTATAGAAAAAAAAATTACAAACAATTTTGTTTTTATAATTTTTTTTTATAAGATTAACCGTTCGTCCGTTACAGCTTGTTAAAGTTAAGTAATTTTAGGCCAAATTTCTATTGTAATTTTACTGTATTAAATACAGAAGTCATTATTTTTATTTGCTGTTGCATAAACCAAATTTTATTGATCAAGTTATGATAGGTAAATGAGGTATAAAAATTTACTACGCACTAAATGAATGATAACAATAATAGATTCAAACCGGATTTTCGGTGTATTATTAATAGCTAAGTCTATGGTTTTGTAAGACTAAAGGATCTAATAAAATACCGGTTGCACTGCCACCGATATTATGAAACGTAATGAATGACAATATTTTTTCTGGAGTCAACATCTTTAAACAATTATATAGTGTAAACGGTTGTTCGGATAAAAAAAATTATAAGAACAAAATTGTTTGTAATTTTTTTTTCTATCATATTATCAAATCAAAAATAGTGATTCCTATTTAAACAAATTATAAATAAACATTTTTATCTCTGAAGGGATAAAAAAAAAATTTATTTAACTTTATATTATTGTAGAGTTTTATAAACTTAATAATTTTTCATTTTACAAAAATTTTAAATTCTGAATAGTTTGAAATGGTATTTAATTTATTTTACAAATTAAAATAATTGGTTTTGATTACAATTTGTTAACATTTAGAAGTATTTATTCGTTTCTGTATTAAACAACAATTTAAAAATATATATAAATATCAATATATACAACAATAAAACATATTCATTTCTATGTACTATTTAGTATGTGTACGATTAGTGGTATTGATATTTCTAACCTTAATTTCAGTTGTATTGGTGATGAATTGTTCGTTGATGTAGGAGTTCTAATATAGTTGACANAGGTGATGAATTGTTCGTTGATGTTGAAGTTCTAATATAGTTGACACTTGTGTGTATTTATTCGCTGTTCTCTCAAACATTGTTTGTTGATATTTCCATTTTATTTCTCATGAAAAATCTTATTGTTACTAGTTAATTTTTATTTAGAGAGAAAGAAAAAAAAAACGTGTTCATTTTTTTATAATCAGATATCATTTCGTATTTCATCTCTTTTTAAAACATAACCAACCAACTATTTTATCTTCTTATCACTTTGTTAGGCATGACAACATTTTTCCAGCGCCGCCACCACATAACGCGAATGCAAAAGTCCCACACGATGTTGCCGCATATTATACAATAATACGAGTAATCATACAATAATAGTACATTTACAACATTTCGTCTAAACTGTACCATTACAACAGATTTTGATCACCTTGTATAAGTTGTACTCACATCATTTAAGTTTAATTTCAATATCAAAAGTAATTAACCTTTACAACTTATTCTTCATACAGTTTATAGTAGATATTTCTATATTATAATTATCTGATATTTTTAAAAATATTTCTTAAACTCAATACATATATAAAAATTAAACAAAGTACTTCTATTTTCTTAGTCACCCGATTAATTTACATCTGTAAAATATGTTTATAATTTGATTAAATTTTATATTCTGTTTTCATAATGTAGTATAAAAATTCTTCAACTATAGTTTTTCTTTAACACTTTAAAGTATTGGTATGTTTTAGTAAATAAAAAATACTCAGAAATGTATAAATATATTATATAGAGACTTTTGATGTTATAGCAAAATTGTGATATATTTTTTCTTTTCATCGAGTTTTTTTCAATGATTGTAATACAAGAACTACCTATAAATAAAGATCTTCCGACCAATAACTTGCTATATTTTTGATCTTAAATCATAGTCGACCAAAATCTGATAAAGTAAACATCTTTGAAAATAGAAAAGTTATTAAGTAACCAGTCCATAATTTTACTCTCCAAAAAATCTATTATATAAAATATTGCTTGGTTGTAGTAAAAGATATTGAAGTTTTTACGCTAAGACCGGGTGTACTTGTATTAATAAAATGTTATGACGTTATACATAGAATCATGTATTCAAACGCATAAAACATTTATTTTAAAATATCCTTGTAGTATTATTGTATTATACTTTCTTCTAAACCCATCAGGTGTATTAAAATGGTAAATATGAACAATAAAGTTTAAATTTAATTTGAAAAAATTCAAAGTTATTTTTCTTTTGATAATTTAATGAAATAAATAATGATAATCATTTTGTTTTCTGAATACGTTCAATCATAAATCAAATGCAATTTCTATCAATTATTTCTACATTCAATTTTACTTGTGTATATTTTATTTAAGTTACATTATTATTTTAATAAGATTCTTTAAAATTGCTTTTAGCGTTAATTATTTTTAAAGGAAGCCTAACAAGAGGAGAATAACATTACTCTAATAATATTAACAGCTTTTATATAGTACAATTAAACTTGATTGTTGCGGGAACCACAACTATTATGATCAAAGCTACGTACCATTAACAAAATTATACCTGCTGGATTGCCTGTTTGCACGGTCTATAAAATGTCACATTAAAAAAATATACATTGAATCTAAAAGACAATTCAAATGTATAGCGTTAATGATCACATTAATACTCCACTAATTAACTCACGTTAAAAATAAATAAACAATAGTTTTTTTTCAACTTTACTTTATTGTAATTTCAATCGCTATTATGATGTAAAAAAAATTTTAAAGCTAATGCATAACTTTTTTTTTTAAGTAACTATAATCAACGGACAAAAATGTGTTGTTTGATAGGTAATCTTTTTTTACTCGTATGTAAGTGGATAAAAGACCCTATGGAAATGGATGTTGGACAATCTGCGAGTCTCAAATAAATTTAAAAGGGATCCCATTTTATAGCAAACGGTTATTTTCCATAATAATAAAATGCCATATTTATTACATTGGTGTTTATTTGAAAAGCTCTACTTTTGATATTGCAATCAAAATAATATGATACTTCTCTTATGGCAAAAAAAATAAATACCGTATATATGCTTCATTCTTTTTTTTTTCGTGTTATCTTGGTCAATTTAGAACATAGACCATTTTTTAATGCTTTTATTTGCAACAATTTTAATTATAATCCAGTCAGCATATTTTTTCGACGAAATAAAAAAGAATAACTTATTTAACGTCAACAACAAAACAAAAATCCTTGATTTTATAATACATATTTAACTTATGATCAAAGAATAAACATTTTTTGATGATATCAAACAATTCCTCGCTAAGCAATCAAGTATGGATAACTAACGAAATGATTGTCATTGCATATATTTAAATTATAAATAATGGTTTAGTGATTAATTAAAACGTAAAATTATTACAAAACAATTATTTTCTCACCTTGTTTCAATTTTTGTCGATTCATTTATTGTGAATGACGAATTAATACAATTCATCAAACTTATTAAAAAACATGTTGTCATGAATTTTTAAATCGTTTTGTGAGTTAATAAAAATAAATAAATTCTAATATTGACTAACTAGTCAATCATTTTGGTTTTTTGCTCTCGGCGCAATTCGTAGACCTTGTCTGTTCGAACCGATGAGGAGTTGATGTAGGTTATTTTTAATTGATTTTTTCTGAATATAAACACGACAAAACAATGGCCGTAAACTATGTCAATAATTATTTACACTTATAATTATAACGCTTTTAGTTTCTTATTTATGTTGTTCTTGACAGTATGTATGAATTACTTTTAAAAATTAATAAAGCTCAATATGAATAATAAATTGTGATTCTAAAGAAGAAATATTGAACTTTTGTCTTCATTTTTTCATTTTGATTTATTAGGTACGTATATGTGTTGTTTTTTTATGAATAATGATTTCATTAAATTTTACCAAATTTTGATTTGCAAATTATGCTTTAATTTATGCAAATGTATTCTAATGTTTACATTAAAAAAAAATTTTTTAGAAAAATATTAGTCAACGAGTTATTAGCAGCATATGTTAATACCTACGGGCTAAGTACAAATTCAAACTAATGTTATTTTTATCTACACGCACTATCCTGTCACATAACAGACCCCGCCTACATCATTTAGCTTAAGTAACATTGTTTCAATTTCGACATGAATCGCTTATGTGTATACAGTTATTCATTTTTTTTACTAGATAAGCATAAAATATTTATTATAAAGTTGAAAAAATGGAAACCGTCGGAAATAAAAAGTTTAAAAGCATAATAATTAAATTGTAGATAATTGGGCTTACACAGTATTTAAATTATATAAAATGACAAATATCAGGCAAAGTAGGTCAAATGAAAATATATGAGTGGATTTACAGCCATCGCGCAGTCCGAAAATTACATCTCTGCGTTTATTTTTGACAAGAACGCTAAACGATAAGTACCAACAAAACTCACGAACTTCTTTTTTAATAACCAAGTTAATTAAATAAACAATAGTATATAGATATTTGTATTTGGATACCTGTTTGTAAAAAACAAGCAAATAGATATAAATGTATTTACAAAAGTGTTTTTGTATACATGCCAATAAACTACTCAAAGACAATAAAAAATAAAAGGTGTGGAAACTGTCGAAAAAAAATGGTTACCAAACGATTCAATTTCATTCCATCGCAGAAGCATAAATGCGTACCATACCGCTTAATTAAATTTATCAGCATACTTTCTCAGAGGTTACTCGTTACAAAACGCATTAAGAAAAACTTAAGTGTTATCACTATATTATATATTATACTCAAAAACGGTTATTACTTGAGCTTTTAAAGTCGTGCCCTCGCGAAAATCACTTTAATATAAACATTTAGTTTTAACCTAACGAGAGCGGACTTATCGCCGAAACTGCTTTTCTTATTGGGACACTCTTCATACCGTTCTTTCATTAGAATTTATGACTTGTATTATTAGTACGATTTCATGAGGCAATATTAACTTGAACTTGCATTCAAAAAGCACATTGTAATTTTTTTTTTCATTTTGTATTCGATTC